TTTATTATAAGAAATACTGTATTTATATAATGTAGTGAAAATTTCCATGGATAAATTACGGGTACTAGGTACTCATGTTTTTTAACGTCTTATTCTCGGTTTGTTTTCCTTTTTTTTTTTTCTTATGTATTGAAAATTACGATTGTGTTTAATAAATAAGACTATGTTACTGAACTGAGGCAATCAATGAAAATATGAAATATAATCATAAATTTTATATATATATTATATATAATTTTTCCCGCAATAACAATATTTCAAAATGTAATGTAAAAATATTTGGCCAAAGATAGACAATATTTATTTTCTTTAAAATTAAAAAAAATAGTAATAATAATATTTAACATTATAGTGTTAATTACAGTTACGTTTTATTAGTCGTGGTTTTAGTAAATCTATTTGTACGTCATTTACAAAATTTGTATTTATTTTTGAATATTTTTGTGGTATCACATTTTTTTTCGTAAAAAATGGAGAATATAAGGGGCCGAGGAAGAGGCCGTAGACCGGGTGCAAGAACTCGGGGGCGGCCAAAAAAAAATGTGAAATATTTTTATTATTGAGATTTTTACTTTTTTTTTTTTTTTAAATAAATTTTTTCTACTTCACATAAAGTAAGAAAATATATAAAGTGACATCAGTTTTGATTTTATATTTTTTAAATTTTTTTGTAGATTGAATTAAAAGATGAAAATGTGCCTGTTCAAAACAATAAAGATGAAGAAGAAAGTATTGCTGAAATACATTCTGAAAGTCAAAGCATTTCTAAAAGTATATATCTTGTAAAGTAATTTGAATTGTTCAATATGTATTTATATTTTATAAAATATTTCAATTAGCCTTTTTTAAATAAATTACAGTTGACATGGAAGCTGATATCTCTCAATTAGAAGCTCCAACATTTACTACCATTAACAGAGGACCTCCTGAAGCTATGCTAAGATTACAATGGGGTCACCCCGTTAATCTTTTGGGTGAAAAAGTTCTTAATCCAATGATACATTGTTGTGACCAATGCCTTCATCCAGTTTTGATTTATGGAAGAATGGTGAGATGAAATGTGCATACACACTTTTATTTGTACAAAAAAAATTTGTGATATAATGCTTATTATTTAATAAATTTTTTTTAGATTCCATGTAAACATGTTTTTTGCCTCAGTTGTGCCAAATCGCAAACCTCAGAATGTCCTCGTTGTAAAGAAACTTTAATTAGAGTAGAAGAAACTAGTTTGGGATCTCTATTTATGTGCACACATGGAGGAAGCAGGTATGGAAATAATGGATGTGGAAGAACTTATTTATCAGAAAGGGATTTACAAGTGAGTTTAATAATTAATTTTTTTTTATATTCAAATAAATTTCTTATGAGATTTATAGATTGATAATATTTCAATTTAATTTTTCAAAGTCAAAACAAATACCTTAATTTATTTTCTGTTTTCAATTTTAATTATATTATATTTTAATTTTTTAATAAATTTTAGGCACATATTAATCATCGGCACGTAGCTATTTCAGGAGAAGATCATTTAAATCAACAATTTCCAGTTCATGATCCTCAGAAAGTTGCAGAAGTTCGAAATAAATCAGAAATTCGGCCACCAACAGTAGCAAATGCATCTTTTTATGATAATGAAAAGCCTAAAATATTTGAAGAAACAGAATGTTTGGGCTATGCTTCTACCAGGACTAGGGAAACAAATAATTCTATAAATAGAAGTAGCAATCTTATAACAGTTCCATTGCAAGGTCAACAACCACAAGATCCTTACTACCTCAATTATAATTCTGTATCTGGGTATTATCCTCCTTCTTATCAAGAATATGCACAACCTCCTCCCCCACAAACGGATCTGTCGATACCTCAACAATGGCCGAATAATCAACAATTTTACGGTTAAAAATAAATTACGTCTTGTATAATAGTTTTAATTTTGTTTTTTTTTTTTTTTTGACAATGATAGAAACAAAACAAAAGGTGCTAAGTTTGTGTCTTGATTCAAATAGTTATATATTATTCTTTTTTTCCTCTTTAAAAATATTCAGAAACAATGTTTATATTTTAAACCGGGATTATTATTTTATAGAATTCTTAATGTATGTTTCCTATGTATTTAATTCATTTTTTACTCAGCCTTCATGTTTGAAATTATTTCATGCTTCATTTACAATGAAATCGATTTTTAAAAAAAAATTGCATTTGAATTTTTTAAAAAATTATTTCGAAGAGATATGGAGTCATTACAGTGAATTAATGTGTTAAATGTAGTAGAATATTTATTAAATAAATAAGAAATGAAATTTTGAAGATGTGTAATCATATTTTCCATCAGGGGATAAAGTACACTTGAAGAACCATGATAGGTTTTTTTTTTTTTTTTTACAAACATTTATATAACAATATAAACCAATGACATATTTCAATCTTTTAAAAATAATATTGAACAGGTTATTAAATATACATTTATTTTATTATATTTTTTCCTTATTTAAAACTAAAACAAAATCTAAACTTTTAAAAAACCTTTTTAGGAAAAAAATTTACTTGATTGCCAATGTAAGTATTTTTGTACTGAAGTTTTTTTTTCCAAACAAAAAAAAAGATCTACTAGTTTTTAAATTAAAAAATTAAATCAACACCTTTATATATCCATATGTATTTTTTTGTATATAATTTATATATATTTATAAAAAGTGATTTTACATCATCCTATGATATTGAGAACAGGATAAATAATTTTAAAAAATTGCCTTAAAAGCAAATTTAGCACTTTTGTTAGTTAAGGTGCCAAATATTATCAACTTCATTAAGAACTTTATCACCGGATGATTTGTAAAACATGAAATATCCTTGCAATTGAGCAGCACTTAATTTTTTATTGTGACTCATAACCTGAATATCAAAAATTTATAAATATTACCCTTTTTTTATTATTCACAAACATATATATATTTTTTTCATTAAAACTTATAAAACTTACTTTTTTTGTAAATTCTTTTGAATCGTCAGCAAATTGAGGATAAAATCTTAAAAACATTTGTTCTACTTGATAAGGTGAACAATATCCTACAAATTCTTTAACATCTACTCTTCCAGGTCTGATTAACGCTGGATCCAGCCTAAAATAAATAAAACATTTTTATTACTTGTTAATTATTTTGATTATAATATCAACCTTGAGAGTAGTTAGTAACAATTGTACATGAATGATAATAATAATTAATTTTGAAATGAAATAAAAGAATCATGCAATGATGATGATATAAAAATTTTACCTTTCTATGTAATTTGTAGTCATAAAAAGTACTCTGGCCTCAGCTGAAGCAACGCCGTCTAAACAATTTAATAATCCACTAAAAGTTACTCGACTAAGACCTTCATAAGGATTTTTACCTGCAAAAAAAAAAAAAAATTGCAAACTATTACTTTAAAAAATAATTAAGAAAATTGTTAAAACATAAATATTAATTTAATTATTAAAATGATGATGTTATGTAATTCATATGAAAAAGTTAGAAAATCTTTTTATCTTAAAATTAATTAATCCATATTGGAAATTAAAAATTTATTAAATTTCATTACTTATTTTGTTTCATTTGATTTAAAACTTTGAATAAATTTTCATTTAAAAAAAATTTTTTTTTTTTATGGAGCTTTACAGAAAGAAATAATTGTCAAACTCATGTGCGAGCAAATTAAAAAGAGTGCTGTAGTAAAATTGTAAAGTGCCAACAGTCTTATTTTAAATTTATTTTTAAAATTATTTACCTTCCACAAAATTTTCCCTTGAAAGAAAAGCTGAATCAATATCTTCTAAAAGTAAAATAGTGTTTTGAGGAGCAACAGCCAATAAATGATTTAATCTATCATCAGATAAACCACGTTCCGATAAATTTAAAACACATATCCCAAATTGTAATTCTCCAGCAAGGGCTGATATAAATGAGCTTTTACCACATCCGGGAGGACCATAAAGTAGATAGCCACGTCTGTATGGTATTCCTAAAATGTTGATGTCATCATATATTTAAAAACTTTTATGAATGGCATCTTGTCATATTAATTTATTGGCTCTTTGTTAGAAATTCATGCAAGTTATCTCATGTCATTATTATTTTAAAAAACTTTAATAAATGCCTATTACTATTAACAATTGTTATTTAATATTTTAAATAAATAATTACTTATTTACTTATATATTTTTTTAAATATGTTCTTTCAATAATAAAACATTTTAAATCATAAAATTTACATCAGAAAAACTTACTGAACTTTCATTTGGCAGCCATACCTCGGTCAGTATACCACAAAGGGTTATTAATAAATTCTAAACAATCTTGAAGTATTCTTTCTTTGACACCTACATCCAACACTACAGAATTCAAAGGCCTTTTTTTTCTCGGATGTCCAAATGGTCTCCATTCAGAACCCATTGCAGTATACATTACAGTTCTATTTTCTTGCTTTCTTAAAGCCATTTGCCTGGCTAAAAATATTTATTATAAAATAATTTTTTAAGCAAAATTTTTTCTACACAATGCAGACAATACCTTCCTCTAATATATTATAATATAAAGCTTTATTTCTTCCAAGGGTAGTCAATGTAACTGTTTCCCATGGAATCCCCATATGTAAATCAAGGGTTTGTTGCTCTCGAGTTCTATCAACCTTTATCCAATTGCCATTGTATCTGATTAATTAAAGAAAATTGTAAAACCAAGGCAATGAAAACAAAGTTTAAAATCAAGAGATGAAATAAATTTAATGTGTATTTACCTAAAAAAATGAGTGCCTATTGAAGGAATAAAGTCATATTTAGTTTTTACAGAACCAGTATGCTTTTGCTCAAAAGTAGTTTCAACACTCAAATGTTGGGTCTGTCTCGCTGCCTTTTCTGTTATCCACTGAAGAAGCCATTGGTAGCTTTTATCTCTGCAAGGCACTTCTAAGGTCATCATCCAACGTCTTCTTAACATGATAGTAAGTCCTAATAACATTTTTCGAGCTACAGCTGCTGTAACTCCAACTCCAAAAAGGCCGAACCCAGCTCCAAAATATGGGTTGCCAGATAAGTTTTGAATTAAATCAGGAATAAAAGTCATTGTAAAACCGCTCATACCAGTTAATTCATAAAAGTAAAATTCATAATATTATGAAGTTCTAAGTTCATAATATTTATATTCATTTATATTCTTAAACTCATAATAATATTATTTAGTTCTAAGAAGCATCATTTTCATTTGAAAAAGTTTACGGTTAAAAGTGCCGCAAACCATTATTCGAACTTTATAAAATTTAAAAAAAAAATACTTATCACATTAAGGCAATTAATATAGATGGAGTACGTTTAAGAACGCATGCGCGCTTGACTCAAAAGCGGTCTCGTGCATAGTTTGCGAATAAAATTATTTTAAATTTTTAATAAAAACAATTTTTTAAAATGTCACTTAAACAAGATTTTAAAGTTGGTAAGATAAAACTATTTTATTAATTTTTATATGAAATTCTTATGCAGCTTTTTTTTTTGTATATCTAAAAAAATTTTTGATTTACATTCAATAAATCTAAAGTTATATATATATATATATATATATATATATATATATATATATATATGATTGCACGTGTTTTTGCATCAATTTTTTTTTATTAAATATTTTTTTTTATTATTATTTTTCACTATCTTTTAAAAAATGACTCAATTTTAATTATGGATAATGAACAGTATATGAAAATTTATCTAAATAAAATTGAATCAGATTATTATTTTTTTTTTTTTTAAAGTCTTACATTATGAAATAAAAAAAAGTACAGCAGTTTATTTAGTTTCAAACAAGAGTAAATACTAATTACAGTTTTGCAAAGGAAATTGTAATCATAAAAATCATGCTACTTTTCATTTTGGTTTTTATACCGAAGTAAGAAATTATTTCTTCCCAAACTTGGTGGATTTACAGAGATCAATTTAATATGATTTACCAAAAGATAAAGGTTCATGGAATTTTATTATACATACAGTTATTTTACACTTAATTTGCATATACCAAATATCCACTAAATAAATAACTAAATTATAAATTTAAATTATTTTTTTAGATTTAAAAAATTCTAATAACATTATCGTTTATGATAATGAAATTTATAAATTGAATCTGGTGAATGTATGAATTATTGTTACATTAACTGTAAATGACCAAGATTTGAATATTGCTCACTCATAATTGTATAAAACACTGAATTAGTAAACAGCTGACTGACTGAATAACCAAGATATTATATTTCAATACTTAGACAAAATATATATTTCCATTTTTTAGCCTACCTGACAAGATTCCTGGGTTGAATTATACAATTATTAGGTACAGTTTAAATTTTTTGACCATATTATTTATCCTGAAAAAATTTTATTGTTTAGTTTGTTTTCAATTTTTAATTTATCAACTGCAAAATTCTAATAAGATGACCATAATTACAATAAACTGTTGTATGAAATTAAATTTAACATTGTTAATATTGAAGAATCGATTAGGGTTTAGGGGTTGCCTTTTAATTAAAATCAAAAAAAAAATTTACTCTTATTTTGAATTTGTACTGAAAATTTTTATTCAAAAAAAAAATATATATGTATATTTATTATTTTTTTGTTCAAATGATTTATTTTCACTTTTATTATTGGTGAACCCTCAAAAAATTTTTATTCTATATATTTAGTAATTCAATTTATTATTAATTATTATGAATGATTATGAACTTAATTAATTTTTTTCTGTGCTTTAGCCGATTTAAAATTGGCTGAATTTGGAAGGAAAGAAATCATGCTTGCAGAAAATGAAATGCCTGGATTGATGGCTCTTAGGGCAAAATATGGGCATATGAAACCTTTGAAAGGTGCTCAAATAGCAGGTTGTTTACATATGACCATTCAAACAGCTGTACTTATTGAAACTTTGGTAGAACTTGGTGCTCAGGTAAATAATAAATTTTCTTAGTAGAAAAAATTAAAATTTTAATTATTAAATTTAAAATTATTATCAATCATAGTAGTTAAATATTACTTGAAAGTAATTTCAATTTATACATTTCATGTTGGTTTTTACATTTATTATTTGCCTAATAAGGAAAATGTATGAATAGAACTGTGTTAATTTATTAGGTTTTTTTTTTTTTTTTTTTATAATTTAAAAGAAAATAATTGTGCATGTTTAAATTTTAGGTACGTTGGGCTAGTTGTAATATTTTTAGTACCCAGGATCATGCTGCTGCTGCTATAGCTCAAAAAGGTATTCCAGTGTTTGCTTGGAAAGGAGAAACAGATGAAGAGTATTTATGGTGCATAGAACAAACTCTTATTTTTTCCGATGGGTCTCCTTTAAACATGATTTTAGACGATGGAGGAGATTTAACTAATTTAGTTCATTCAAAATATTCTCACTTACTGTCCGGAATCAAAGGAATATCAGAGCAAACAACCACAGGAGTTCATAATTTGTATAAAATGTTTAAAAAAAATATTTTAAAAGTACCTGCCATTAATGTCAATGATTCAGTTACCAAGAGCAAATTTGATAATCTATATGGATGTAGAGAATCATTAATTGACGGCATTAAAAGAGCCACAGATGTAATGTTAGCAGGGAAAGTATGTGTTGTTGCAGGTTTTGGAGATGTGGGCAAAGGATGTGCTGCATCACTTAGAGCTTTTGGTGGACGTGTTTTAATTACAGAAATAGATCCCATCAATGCTCTGCAAGCAGCTATGGAAGGATATGAGGTATTGTACTTAATTAATCACCAAAACGCTTTAAAATATATTTTTAAAGTTCTAGCAAAAGTTTTATTATTAACTGGATATCAATTTGTTGCTCTAATATAAGCATTGAGTTGAAATTTTATGGATTTTATTTTTTTTATTCATATGAAAAACATTATTATAGAAAATAATAATTTATTTGTAGGTAACAACAATGGAAGAAGCAGCTAAAGAAGGGCAAGTTTTTGTTACAACTACCGGTTGTAAAGATGTAATAGTCGGTAGACATTTTTTAGAAATGAAAAACGATTCTATACTGTGTAACATTGGACATTTCGACTGTGAAATTGATGTGAATTGGTTGGAAAAAAATTCAGTTGAAAAAATGAACATAAAACCTTTAGTAGATCGTTATAAACTTTCTTCTGGACGCAACGTTATTCTTTTATGTGAAGGAAGATTGGTCAATCTCGGATGCGCAATGGGTCATTCTTCTTTTGTTTTAAGTAATTCATTTTCTAATCAGGTCTTGGCTCAAATGGCTCTTTGGACGCAACCACAAAATTATCCAATCGGCGTTCATATATTACCAAAAAAAGTAAATAATAAATACGAATTTTTTTTTTTTTTTTTTTTTGAAAAAAAATTTCTGAATGTGATGATATTTTTTAGTTGGATGAAGAAGTTGCAGCATTACATCTGGATCATCTGAGTGTTAAATTAACAAAACTTACGCCAGAACAAGCAGAATATCTTGGATTGGATGTTGATGGTCCTTTCAAACCTGCTCATTATCGCTATTAAGATAGATAAGAGAAACTCATTTGACATATTAAATAAAATGGATAATAATTGATTTTTTAAATGTTTTAAAAATGACAAGGTTGAAGTTTAAAGCCGATTATTAAAAGAAAAATTCAATTTTGTATACAGTATGAAATACCAAATTAAAAAATCTTTAAGATTTTAAAACGCTTTATTTATTTATGTACTTTAAATGGATTATCATTTACATATTATATTCACATTTATATGAATAAAACTTAATTTTCAGCTAAAATTTTTTTTATTTTTATTTTTACCGTTTCTTATCTGTTAATAACACGTATTTTCAATTCAGGAAGTTGTTCGACCCAAAATGGGATGGGAATCGTTCGTCTCTTGAAGTGAAATTAATCAAGCAGCTGAATGTGCGGTTATAAGACATGATATAAAGAAATTTAAATATTGAACCAAGAATCGAATCTTAAAATCCACCGAGTTCGATATTATACATTTCCGTTTGTATTTTTTATAATTCGTCTGGAAACGTCATATAACGATTTGTTTGGAGTGGATAATTGAAAAATTATGACCCATATGGCTTTTCAGTAAAAGGAAAAAAATGGGTATGTCGCAAAGGTAACTTGAATCAAAGTGTTTTTTCTTGTAAATAATAATAATTCATGCAGTGTTAAAATTGAAAATATTGAACATAATTCCTTTTGATAACTCCCTTAGAAAATTTTAAATTGTGGTGAAAAGGTAGAATTATTAAAATCCAAGTGTTAGTTAATTTAAAATAATTTAACCACAACAAATACTTATATATTATTGTTACAAACAAAAGAATAATTTAAAAAAAATTATTTTACAAGCGTGATATATAAAATATATAAATATAAGGGCATTTGTGGTAGAAAAAACAGATGAAGAAGATGTTATTCCGCAGTCCAAATCGATTTTCTGAAATTTTAATTAATGAAACTCTTCAAATTTTATTTTTTAAAATGAATAATAATAAATAATAAAATTATTAACAATTTCACGAAAGTTTTATTTTTCTAATAAACTGTATTAGGAAGATATTTTTTATCTTTCCTCAAAAGGATTTTGTATTCGGATCTTTAACTTGTGAAAAATTTACAATTGAAAAAAAAAGAAAAAACGGTTTTTACCTTTGGTATGTTTATGTAACATTTTTCCGGTCTATGCCTGTAATGTTGTTGATTTTTGCAAAATGTGGCGTCCTCATCGGTACCTGAAAAATTTACAGAAAAACCATTAGGCTTGTTTCCTTTTTGTAATTTTTAATTTCATTTTATTAAGATTAAATTACCTTTTTCAAAATGTAAAAAATCTTGGGATGAATAAGTTAAAAAATCATCATCGCACGGAGGTTGAATAATCAAAAAGAAAAGTCCGACATTTTTTAAAAATTCAATTTGAAAATTTCTTTTGTTTTCTCCACATTTTTGAGACCCCCAAAGAGGATATTTTATTTCTTCATTGTGATAATACCAAATTGATTGTGAGACACAAGCGTGATTTTCATATTCCGATATATTTTCCCCATATTCGTTTATAGATTTCCCTGTTGTTAAACTATCATAAAAAAAAAAAAAACAAAACACTGTAAATCATTTTCGAGCCTCGGATGGAAAACATTTAAAAATAAAAGAAAAAAAAAAAGTTTTCAGAGTGTACATTTAGGTACAATTAGTGGAGTGTAAAATTAGGGATTAAAAAAAAAAAAGAAATTTACCATGAAAATAAATGAAGAAAAATTGAATAAAAAAAACTCCAATGAAAAGCTTTTATTACGTCATAAATAAATTTAATAAATGGAAATTTATTAAATTTAGCAGCTTTGGCAGTTGATTGTATTGAATTTTTCGAACACCAAGATTGATAATTATGACGATATTCTCGTAAAAATACTTTTTTTAACAGTAAAAATTCCAGTAATTGTGGATCGTGAACTCCTATAAAATTTCCAGGCTTAAATATAAATAAAAAAAATTAAATTCAATTAAACGTGAATCAATTCTTTTTTTTTTTTTTAAATTGAAAACTTACCAGAGAACGTTTATTATTTGAGGCGACAATTAATCCTCCATCATTTAATAAATAACAATGTAAAAGCTCCGAAGAAGCACAACTATCATTTGTTTCAGAATTTATGGTTTCATCAAAAACATTTTGGATTATTTTTTGATGAATGTCGATTCCAGCCACTTTTTAAAAAAAATTATTTTTTTTTACGAAAAAGAAAAAAGGAAATATATATTACAAGAAAAAATTTACCAGCTGTCACAAAAGATTCATTAATAATTATTTTTCTAGCTATTGTGAGCCTGTTTCTTTTTTTTCTGGTCAATGAAAAGACAAAACCGGATGCGGAAGAAGCTCTTTTATAAACGCTACTCTTTGATGGATCTCTTTGTCCCAAATAATCTTCTTCTTCTTCATTATTATTATTATCATTTAATTCTCTATATAACGTCAAACCTGTGTTTGTAATTAAAAATCTTGATTTAACTTCTTGTGCACGAATGTTTTCGTCCCAATTTTTGCTAATCTCAATTAAATTTTTCGCATCCCATTCTAAATTTCTGATCATGTTTTCGTTACCTCGAAAAAAAAAAATTTTTTTCTCACAATTATTATTATTTTTTTTTTCAAATTGAACATATTTGTCAACTTACAATATGAAATATTATTATCTGATATTAATTGTATAAGTTTTAAAAGAGTCAAATCTTCTTCGGGTTTTTCCCTTGGGCAATAATTCCAGGGCGCAATTGAAATTCCTTCAACATCTTTTAAAATTCGTAGCCATTTTATATCTTCGTTTAAATTTGTTTTAAGTATGAAATGATTAGATGGCAAAGCTAATCCGAACCTGGAAAACCCGACGAAAGGAATTAAATTCCTCGATAATAATTATTTAATTGTTTGTTTACAAGTATACCTGATACCACGTCGATTAATTTCAGTGGTACCGAATACCTATTTTCATAATTTTAAAATTTACTTTTAATTCGTTTGTTTTTTCCCGTACAATAACAATTAAACAATAATAATAATAATTCATGAAAAAAAAGGCGTTCGTCTACCTGAAAGTCGTAGATTTAATTTTTTCATAAAAAAATGTCATATTCATCAAAACGGCGTGATTTAAACCCGTGGGAATAATGGATTTAAAATTTTTCAACGATCCATTTTTCCCATCAATCATTGATTTTTCCATTTCTTCTATGTCTTTAGAACGTCCTTCCAAATCGGTGAGATAAATACTCGGAGGATCCTGCAACGCTTTCAATTAATAACCCGGTATCTCTTCGAAACGATATAGATAGATCATCAGAGACAAAATTAAAATTTAAAACCTCTAAGTATACAATGTGATCCTTGAGTCTTGGATGATATATCACGAATCCGTTGGTGTTAATGGCAAATGGATAACCGAAAGGTCCGAGTAAATATTTAGGATACAAATTGAATATTTCTTCAACGGGTATATCGATACCCATAACTCCTAACAATTGACTTATTTTATGTTCCTGACAAAAAAAAAAAAAAAAATCACGCAAGTGTTGATGAATTTATAAAATAAATTTAAAAAATTTGAAAATGTTGAGTACTCACATCGTTTGGACTTTTATTAAAAACCGGAAGTGCAAGAGTTGTGACAAGACCAAGTCCTCCGACATCGCGATAAAAATTATTCCAATAAAATAAATTTTCATGTTTTGAATAAGCTAAAGGCCTGCTTAAAACGTTCACATAATCTCGAACTTTTATGCGAACGGATCCCAAAGCAGTTATCGGACTGAAATAACCCCCCGTAGAACAGGCCATTTCTTTCAAAATAACCGTTGGAATCGGGTGGGGACCGCAAGCAAAAGTGAAAATTTTTATGTTTTCATTATTTGAATTGTTACAATGTCTGTTGATGACATCAGTCGGCCATTCGGTACCCCCATCGCTGAGAAACATGACAATTTTATGACAATTTGAACCGATCCACGGTTTTTTTATTTCCTCGAACTAAAAAAAAATAAAATAAAATTTATTTTAAATGTATTTTGGGAGAAAAAAGGAGAGGGTAAGAAAGGATTTTTTCGTGGGAAATTGTATCATAATTTCATTTAAATACCGTAGGATACAAAAAAGAAAAAAGAAAATTGAATGATCCCGGAAAATTCCTTCCATTTTACCTTTCTAAATTCTTCATAAGCAAAATCTAAAGCTGTTACATAACTTGTAAGGTTGCTTTCAGTCAATCTTTCAATTGCATCAGCTAATAAATTTTTTATTTGAGTTGTAGCTTGAACTAAAGTTTTTAAACAAGGTACCACCCATTTAACGTCGTTATTAAACTGAAAATTTTTTTTTTTTTGTTTAAATTAAAATTTATATAATTAATAGAATTTAAAAAAAATAATAATAATAATTTTTTTCAACTTACCCAAGCAACGTTAACAAAATCATTTTCTCCTAAAGAATTAAGCAAAGCTCTTGCTGTGATTTTCATTATATCAAGTGTAGGACCATGAACGCTTCCACTTCTGTTTTATTATTATTATTATAATTTAATTAATTTTTTGTTTTTTGGAAAAAAGGTAATAAAATCGATTAGTTTTAGTTTTAAACTTTTTTTAAAAAAAAAAAAAAATTACAATTACCTATCAAATAAAATGATAACATCTTTTGGAGATGTGGAACTTTGTATGTACCAGGATCTTCTTCGAACATCAAAAAAATCAGGATATCTCGAATGATCGGGCCATCTACATCAAAAAAAAAATTTTTTTTTTAAATTTTCTTATATAAATAATAAAAAAACTCATTAAATTTGTTTTCATATATTTCCGCGTATTTACAAAATAATTTTCGTTTGTAAAATATTAACAAATAAAATGTCTGCCATCTCATAATAAATTCTTATTTGAGAAAGTTTTTTAAACATTCATTAGGAAATAAAAAAAAAAAAAACTTTTTTTATAAATCTAACCTAAAAGCAGGATAAACTCTTAAAAAACCATGAAAGCTACCAAAAAATTGCCATCCAATATTAGGATCCATTCTATGATTTTCTTTAAAAACCTCATCCAAGCTCGAAGTCCAATTTACTCCATTTAATATATTTGAGTCTGACAACAAAAAAAAAAAGAAAATTTTTTTATTTTTGGGAAAATTATTTTTAACTCGATTAAACAAATTTTATTTCATTATAGTCATAAATTATAATAAAAAAAGCGGAAAATTGAAAATATTTATGGAAACATACCGTGCCACCAGCCATCTTTGTATCGGGGTCCCATCCCTACAACATAATAAACAAATTAAAATTTTTTTTTTTTTAAATAACTTTTGAAAACTAAATGATTTGATATTGCGATTGAAGAATTTAATATTCCGACAAAATTATTGATAATAATAATAATAAAAGGAAGAAAAAAAAAGAAATACACGTGGACGTTAATACTTGGATGGACGTTAATTTTTTTTTTTTTCTCTCTCCCTCAATAAAATAAAAAAAAATTATTATCATTTTTGAAATTAAGAAAGGAAATAAATTGTAATTATAAAATTTTAATTTTTAATTCTAATATCAAAGACAAAAAAAAAAAAAAAAAAAAAAAAAAACTTGAAAAAAAATAATTTACGTTTAAAATATATCGATCATTTATTAGGTTTGACCCAGTTAAATTACGTCATTACATCGGGGGAGAGGGGGAGAAAGGTAAAATTTTTTTTTTCATTTAATTAAAAAAAAAATATTTTATTTAAATACTTACAACCGTCAAAAATTTCAAGAGGTATGTGAACCCCGGATTCTTTATATGAAACTTTTTGACGAAAATTATGGCTGAACGTCATGTTGGCTGAATTATTTGGATCTTTCATGTTAAAAAAATTAACTCCAGCATTTTGTAATGGCTTATTTATTTTTTCATATTTCGAATATGTTTCTTCTGCTTTATTAACAAGTTTTATCAATGCTGTTTTTTTATTTAATAGTAGATGATTTAATTTATTAATTACCGATTTTAATATTTCCTCACCGTCAATGGGTTCGATTGAATAACCAACAACGTTTTTTGAATAAACCTTTCAAGAATTATAAAAACATTTTACTTTAAATAAAATTTTAACACTAATGAAGGAAAGGTCTCCTCACGAGTGATAATTCTTTTTTATTTATTTAATTATAAATAAATAATATATAATTTACTTACATTTTGAATGAATTCGTATTGAGTCAAGTTGTTTATGAGACGATATAATTTTGATTCTAGTATTAAATTCCATTTGGAAAATCTATTTAATAAAATATTATTTTTCTCTCATGGGAAATAATTTTGAATAAATTTAAATAATTAAATAAAAAAAACTTACTTATCGTTATCGGGTAATTCAAAATTATCGTGTTGACACAAAGAAGGTGCGAAAAAAATAAATAAAATTATGTTTATAGAATAAAATTCCATTACGAGATTTAATTCGCCATCTTACATAAGAAAAACGTTGGTATACGCGATCGAATACTAGTAACACGCATGCCCTTTTTTTTCGGAAAAACGATAAATTTCCATTTGACTGGAAAATTATGGAAAAAAAAAATTTATATTTTTTTTGGCGCCAAATATAAATATAATAACGGAATCCAGTAAATCGCGAGCTCAATTTAAATAATAAATTATATTAATCCCAATTAAACATGATAATCGTAAATATATATAATTTTATAAATTATTTAAAATATTTTAGGCATAAATAAATATATAAAACACAGAGTTAATACAAAAATAATAATGATGATATATTTATTTAAATAAATGTTTCAACTAACATTAAAAAGAACAACATCTAATTTTAATAATATTTCTGAAATATTTATTTGACCTCCACCACCACCACCCCCTCCACCAACGGGTAATTTTCTTAAAACAGGCCCACCGGATCGCGTTTGCTCCGAAATTTCTTTCACTTGAATTTTCCCACAATCAAAAAGTTCTGGAAAATTTAAATATACACAGATATGAATTTTATAAATATACGACAATTATGACAATTTCAAAATATTTTTTAAAAAAATTGAATTGTTTTTACTGACCATCTGGTTTAAAATCATGTTTAATAAAAATTGATATTATTAAATCATCATTATCGAAATTTTGAATCATGAATTGCATAGCAGAATTCCATTTAAATGGGGGACCACAAGGCGGAGTGTTTTGTACTTGATTATTAAGCTTAATCTGACAAAAGCAACATTTAAAAGATAAATTATATCCTTCTACGACTTCTACCAGTAAACGTCCAACGGATAAACCATCTTCTGATTCTAAATTCAAAGAATACAAAAGAAAACAAAAAACAGAAAACCTTATTCCTCTGTCTAGATGTAAACAAGATAAGACATGATGACATACTGAAATAACGTGAAGTATTATCAACATTTTTAAATTTATCACAAGCTTGTTTGATTTGTTTGATCCATTGTAAAGCTTCCTGTGACGTACAACTAATAAATCCCAATTGTGCGCTAGAAATTATTTTTTTGTATTAATAAATAATTTATTTTATTTAAAAAAAAAAAAAAAGAATAATTATTTAGAGTACTCACTTGGGTGTAATTATCGTGAATCCCCGTTCGGAATCATTTGATTTTTGGACCGTCAATTCTTTTAATAAAAGGGGCGGCAAAAAAAAAAAAAACAATTTTAAATAAAATAATAATTAAAAATCCTCCATTTTTTTTTATTACCTTTTTATAAAGTCTTAAATGTTGGTTAAAGTTTTTCATTGAAAATTGACCGTTTAATAGAGGTTTTGATGGATACGTTAAAACCAAACAATCGGAAAGAAGGAATCCTATTAATTCTTTATTACTTCTTACCTATCGATAAAAAAAAAATTATTTTTAATATTAATAATAATAAAAAAAAGAAGAGAGAGAGAAAAAAAATGTTTCTATTACTTTATTTAAAACTCCAGAATGTAGAAATATTCGATGACCCGAACAATTTGTTTCAGAATTGAAAATTAAATTTTCTTCCATTCCATCCATTATTATATGGGTTTGAAGCCATTCTAATCTTTCTGAATTTTCATTTTCTCTCACTCCTTCATTTACTTGAGTACAAAGTTCTTCTGCTTTTTGATGAGCTCTTTCTAAATTTATCCTATCTGGGTGATCCATAGGAGTATGTTCTAAAACCTTTATTTAAATAATTAAATTTTCACTTATATCATGAGTATGGTAAAAAAAGAAAATTATAAAAAGGTACCTTTTCAATTAATAAAGGATATTTTGTTATTCTTTGCATGGGTTTTACAAGAAAAGTACTCAATGGAAGTCCCTGAGTTCTTGGATCTCGTTGGCATAATTTACAAAATTCCCGAAAAGCTGTAGAGGATTCCGTGAGATGCTGTAGTAACTGACCGGCATTTAATTGAAAACTACAGAATTCAACATAACCTCCCATTTTCGGCAACTGAAAACAAAATTTTTTTCCATAATTAAAAAAAAAAAAAATTATTAATAAATATAAATAAATAAATAAATACTTACATAATCACATAAAATATCTCCGATGCATCCGATAACCTGATCGGGGGATTCTTTTTTTCTTTTATCAAATAATTTCAACAAAGTATAATTTCCTTTTAATATTTCCCGCCAATTTAAAAAAATTTTCTTTAGTTGATCCGAAGTGACCAAACCACTTTTCGATATTGGCTTTTCAAATACCTAAATATACATTAATATTATCAATTATTTATTTATTTAATAGTTTTAAAAAAATTAATTCAATCGCAAGCGCACACATATATATATACACGTGCGTGCGTGCACGTGCGGGTACATGTTATTTACCTGTCTGACAAGAGTCATATCCGCTATGTAAGATCGTTCGCTTTCAATAAGTTCCTGGATGGCTTCCTGTCTTAATTTTTCTCTCCAGTCCGAATTTGTCGACGTCACTTTATATCAAAAGATATAAAACATTATATATAAATACTTTTCCTTTTTTTTATTATATAATATTAATAATAATTTATTTATTTATTTATTATTTAGCGTGTCACATATTTAAAAATTTTGAATAAATTTGTGTTTTTTAAGCTACTCGATAATACAATATTTTACACGACCCTTTAACCAATAACGAACGGGATAAACATTTAGACATATATACAGAGTAAAGTATAAAAAAAATTAGAAATTTACAAAAAAGTAAGTAATTTTGAAAAGAAAAATTAAAGTGAAATAAATTTTCAAAAAATTTAACTTTATTAAATTTAAAATATCAATTTAAACATTGGTTTTAAGTGAACAACTATCAATGAATAACAAATTAAATTTGTAAAGAAATTATATAAAGATATATAAAATAATATAACTAACGAAAATTAATAAAACAAAAAAAAATTTATATATATATATATATATATATTATTTATTTTCGAAGAATCCTTCCTTTTTTTTTTTTTAAAATATTATACATTAAAAGAGAGAGAGAGAGAAGAGAGAGAGAGAGAGTGTGTGTGAAAAAAAAACTTTTCATTTGTATAAATATTACTTTTGTAAAAATATCGGATATTAGTGTTTGTTTATAGATTTTTTCAATTTTTGTCCTCATTTAAGTCTCTATAACTTTAAGCAATGTTAAACTCAAATAATTAAGCATTTATATTGTTATAAAAAAAAAAAAAAAACATTTAAATGGGCAAAACATTATTGAAAGGTAAACATTTTTTTGATTGAAACATTAAAATTTTGTTTTCATTATTAATATTTTTTTTTTTTTTTTTGCAATAAATTAAATTTTATTTAATTAATTGAAAACGAGAAAATTTTTAATATATATTTATATAATTAATGATCGAAATAAATCCCCAAATGATCGATATAACGAATAACCCCAGGTTTTCAACAAATAGCGTAAGAAAAAAAAAAAAAAAAAAGATGTCGTTCTAATTAATGATAATAATAATGATAATAATAGTAAAAAAAAAAAAAAAGGTTTATAAAGAAAGATAAAATATCCTAATCCAATAATAATTCTAGGTAGAAAAGTATAACATCGGAGGCTTGAATTTAACTCCTGAACGTGATCCCATTTCTGGCCGTTCCTAAAAATAACAGAAACAAAATTAAGTTTCCATTATTTTCACCTTTTTTTATTATATAATATATATTTTTTTGACGGTACTTTTATTTATTACTGAACACACACATATATAAAAAGGAATTAAAAAATAAATTGTCACTCATTTGAAACTATTGTAAATTTTTTTAAATAAAACAAAATGAATAAAAGCATGACATTATTATAACAATAAAACAGGCCACCATTTCTAATGCCCAAAATTTTCCTACAAAATTTATTTCCTTTTCTAAAAGTAATAATAGGAAAAAATTTCATTGCTAACAATTTTAAAACTAGCATTAAATAAAAATTATAAAATTGTTTAAGTTTTATTTTAAAAAAAAAAAAAAAAATCAAAAAATAATTAAACGAAAAGTTTTTTTTTTAAGGAGACAAATACATAAAATAAATTAACTAAAAATTTGTTTTTAAAAAAATAAAAAAAATAAAATAAAATACACAGAAATCACGTTCAGGACAAAAAGTACTCGTACTCTACAAAGAATAATAATAATAATAATAATAATAATAATAATAATAATAATAATAAATGTACTCACATGATCCGTTCATTGGCGTTACGTAGTTGCATGGAAACAAACCGATCGACCCTCTAAGCTCACCCTTCCACCAAGTGGCTTCATCTTTAGAAATAACCGTTATTATATCATCTTTTTCAAATGTGAGTTCGTCGTCGTTTAAAGCTTTATAAGGAAACATGGCAATTACTTTATCTGTAAACAAAAGTTTTTTTTATTAACCCTTTAAAGAAAAAAAAAAAAGAAAAGAAAATACATATTTTAAAGTTATTATAAAAGTGAGGGTATATATTTACCGACGTTGGGTTCTCCGTCTATATCAGGCGTTGTTTGACTTAAACGTCTGCTAGCCATTACTTTTACATAAGATGCAGGAAACCATCCGATTTGTTTTTTTTTACCTTTGGCTTGTAATTCACCTTCCCACCAACCAGTTGATGTTTTCTTACGAATGCAAACTAATTGTCCTCGAGCCAAAGATAATTGTTCGTTTGAAGTTGCTTGGTAAGGAGCAATAACAGTAGCAATTTCACCCTTTTTGCTTAATTTCGTCTGAATAATGAAATAAATAAATTTAGACAAAAAAAATTAATTCATTATTTATAATAACTAAACAAAATAAATATATCTGGCGTATACGAACCTGTGCAGCAGTAATACTAGAAAAGTCGGGAGTGACAGGCTTTGGTTGATTTGATTCGACAAAAGTTTCTTGTTCTTTTACACCTGTATTAGTATTCTCTGGTGATGGCGAGATTTCTTTTTCAATTTCATCAGTTGGTTCTTGAACGGGAATAGTGTTGTCCTCAACTTCACCACCATCACTTTTCTTATTTGTAAATTCTGAAGAATCGAATTTGTTCTGAAAATTAAATGGAAAATTTTCCTATAAAAATTTTTATTTCCTATTTTAATTCGTGTAAAAAAAATACATACGGAAAATTTCAATAAAAATTCTATTAAAATACTTTTCTTCTATTTTTAAAACGAGTGTGATTTTGTTTTATTGCATTTATTATTAATAAACTTTTAAAAATAAATATTATTATTTGCTGAATACCTCGGGCTCAATTTTTTCTACGTAATTAGATGGGAATAATCCTACACGATCCCCGATCGTACCAGTCCACCAAGCTCCATCTTTTTTAGTTACGTATATGGTTTCACCTTGTTCAAAACTGAGATCCCCGGGTTCTGACGATTGATAACGATATACAGATACGTATATTTCGTTATCGTAATTTTCGTTATTACTTTTATCAGTGACAACTTCCGGAAGTTCCGATATATCTCTTTAATAAAAAAATAATAATATTTGAATAATTTAAATTAAATAAAAAAAATCATAAAAAACCGGAATACTGTACCCCAAAGGTTGCTTGTTCGATTCTTCAAGGTCTGGCGCATTAGTCGTAAAAGAATCATCTACAAGTTCAACGTAAGCTTCTGGAAACCATCCAGTCATTCCGTTTAGTTCTCCAGATAACCATCCCGGATCTGCATTTTGATTAACTGACACTGTTATGATATCACCTGGTTGAAATGATAATTCGTCCGGATTTCGAGATTCAAATTTGTACAAAGCTCTGTATTTTTTAAAACCTGCAGTGAAAAATTAATTGTGGTTATAAAATAGTCCATGATAATTTCATGTAAAAATTAATTTTTTTTAAACGTTTACCTGAAGCTGTGCTAGGAGTATAGGATGTGTTCCAATTATCAGTGGTTTCGTTGAAATTGTCCCAAGATTTATCGGGTGGTTCCCAACCAGATGAAACATCCCAATTATTATTGGTACTGGCAGCTTTCATTTGTAATATAATATCACGTTTTTCTGAATATTTTAAATATATTGATTCGCATTCATTTAATAAGTTACTTAGCTTAGTCTTTAATTCATTTAAATGAGTCTTATTATTTTTAATATCGTTCGTTTTTATTTCAACCTAAAATACAAAAATTAAATTAAAACCAAATTAGTAACAATACTAAAAAAATTCACTCAAAATATTTTTTAAACTTATTTTATTTTAAATTAAAAATGAAAGTGTAAAAAGATTAATGGTCGTGCTTTCTTACTTCTTTTTGAAGTCCTTCTACTTTTTCATTTAAATGCTTTAACGCAATTTCTTTATTTGTAAAAGCAAGCATAACTTGTTCAGCTCCAGCCGCATTTGTAGTAACTCCAGCTTTCGTTCTTGCCTCCAAACGCGCTTTTTCTTGAGCAAGAAACAATAAACGCTGATTTTGTTCTTTAAGCTTATTTTTATATGCTGACATGTCACTTATATGCGAATCTCTGGTAGCTCTCATACCTTTTAATCAATAAAATTATTTTTTAAAAAGTAAAATAAGAAAAGTATTTTTAATAGAAAAAAAAAAAAAAAAAAAATACCGTCAATTGTAGCTTTAACCGCTGAAACACCAATTCTTGTTTCACTTATTTTTGATGATAATTCTTTGATCGATGCATTTATTGTTGCTAAATCGATTGCAAGAGATTGATTTTTTGCTTTAAGCTTTAATACATTATTTTGTTCTTTCATTCTTTGTGCTTCCAGTTCTTGAGAACGAGCTTTTTCCCATTCCTGTTGACGTTGCCTTTCTAATTCTTTTCGAGCTGCTTCACGCTGTTCCTGTAATTTACGAGAAGAATAAAAAATTTTTTTTTTTAATTTTCCTTAATTGCCTGAGAAATATTATTGTAAATAAAGTTAAAATATAATTAAGCGAATAATAAAAAACTAAATATTTTCTATTGATTCACCTACATAGAATTTCTTCGAAAAAAAAAAAAGTAAATTTTTTTTATTATTGATATTTTTACAATACTACAATATATTTTACCGAAATGCGTCGTCTTTGTTCCTCCTGTTCCATTTCTAATTCTCTTTGTTTCTGTAATTGCTTCTGCAATTCCTGTTGTCTCCTTATTTCCTGTTCAGCACGCAATGCTTCTCTTTTTTCTAGTTCTTCTCTTTCCTTCTTTTCTCTTTCTTCTTGTTCTTTTTTTTGGGCTTCTAGCAATACTGCACGACGTCTTTCTAACTCGGCTTGTCCTTTGTCAAAATTTTCTTTTCTTTTATCCTCAAAAGTTGCTAAAAAATATAACATCATCATTTTATAATTTGAAAGAAATTTTATTATCAAATACGACAATTCGAAAATTAATTTCAACACAAAATTAAAGCTTACCACTATTTTGTACCGCCATAATATCCTGTTTATCATCTACACTAGTTATACTACTTCCTCTTTTTCTACGTAATCCAGGAGGTATTAGTTCAAAGGGAAGAGTGGTTGGTAAAGGTCTCCCTTCTTTGGCCATATCACACAAATGCATTGCAAGAACAAATTCCTCACAATTAATTTTTCCATCAGAATCGCTGTCAACTAATGCCCAAATCTGTAAAAAAAAAAAAAAAAAAAAAAAAAAAAAATTAATTATTCCTCTGAAGTTCAATACAAATTATCAGGGAATTTATACATAATTAGGATGAAAATTAAAAACTATTAGATAAAATACTGACCTAAATACATGAATATAATAATAAAAATTTTTATTTGATTTTGTATAATTCACAAAACAAAAGAAAAACTTTTTTTTTTTAAAAAAATTTAAAAATGTACAAATATATTGTTTTTTCATTTAAGATGGCCGAAACGTTTAAATCGAACGATTTTTATTTTAAATATAAAGAAACAAATGAATGTAATTTAAAAAAAAAAAAAAAAACAATGTAGATTAAAAATATTATATTATGTGCCTAAAACTGAAAGAAAAAAAATGTCAAAATTGGTACAGTTTTATAAAATTCTTCAATTTGAAGTTGAACATTAACCAATTAGATAAAGAAAGAAGATTGTAAAAAAAATAATCATAAGATGTGTAAAAATAGAAAAATTAAGGAAATAAAACCATAACCAAGAATTTGTAACAAGTTTTTAACTTCATTTTTTTAAATGAAAAAATTACAATACCTGAGCTAAAATCCCTTGAGAAAGTTTAGTTTGAATCAAAATTGATTTTGCTTGAGGACCTGTGAGAAATCCAGTCCTGGTTCTGTCAGTGGTGTTAAATAATTGGGTGTATTTTAGCTTAGATTGATGGGGAACAGCCCAATCTGTAATCTGTGGTCCTCCTAAAGGTGAACTAAAAAATTTTTTTTTGTCAAATGAATAAATTCTTATTTGATTTCATACAAGAATATAAATACTAAAACTTTAACTTACTGAAAATCGACAGGTTGTCCTTTATCGATAAATTTATTATGTCCATCTGAAATTATGCTTTGCTGAGATGTCACAACTTGTGGAATTCCAGGAGTTGAAATTACAGGAGTTGATTGAGAAATTTTAGGCAGAATTTGAGGCACTGGAGAAGCTTGCGGTATCACTGATGGAGCTTGTGGTAAAATGTTTGTGCCTTGAGAAGTTATTGCTTGAGTAGGAAAAGCGACAGGAAAAGCAGGTGTTACAGGAGTACTTTGATTTATTGGGGACTGAGTAACACTTTTAACTCCCCCAACAATTTGAGGAAGTTGAACAGAGCCTGAAATAGTTTGGGTCATTGGAATAGAAACTACATTGGTCATGGAATCTAATGGCAACAATCCTGGAGTTGGAGAGCATGTTTTAATTAAATTTGATTGACTAGTTACAAACCCTTGAACATTTTGTGATTCCAGTGAGGTAACAGGCTGAGATGGTGTTGAGGAAATGGAGTCAGGTTCTAATTTGATACCTGCCGAAGAAAACTGGGTTTCTAAATTGCACAAAGCTGGGGGTAAAACCGAAGGTATTTGGTATCCTCGTAACGTTAAATTTATAAGCTTGCATGCTATACTAAATTCATTAATATTCATTCTTCCATCAGAATCCGTGTCCGATAAAGCCCAAATCTGACCCAAAATATTAGGCGGTAATTGTGACTGAAGAAAAAAACCTTTAGCTTGCTCTCCGGTAACGACTCCATTCTCAGGACGAAGAGACTTAAATTGTTCTTCATATCTGGAGCGCTCTTTGGCTTGAACCACCCATAATGGATCGGTAGGGCCCAAAACTGACATTTTTATTTTTTACTTTTCTGTAAAAAGAGAAAAAAAAGAAACGAAAAAAAAATTTATTTATCTAAAATTTGATTTTATAAAAAAAAATACTTTGCTTCACACAAATATTTTTATAAAATCATTTAATTCTAAAATTTTAATTGCTCTAATAAAATTATAAAATTATATTTAAATAAAATTTGCTTTACGGATACCCTAAAATTATTTTATTGCTTAAATTTTTATTCATACCAATAAAAAAAAAAAAATATTATTACGAATTCATGACAGACACACTTTTTATCATTGAAACGATTTGACGTACAAATCGATAACTGTGACTTTCTATTCATATCACTTACATGAATAATAATCAATAGTTGGCAATTCTTCACAAAATTGAGCACAAGTTAATTGGGTGGTATTTTTAAGAATAGCCAACTTAATTCAAATAATTTTATTATAAAAATAATAACGTTTCCTCATTTGTAATGTTACAATAATTAACCGAAATCAAAACTCTTTAAATCTTTTTCTTAATTTATATTTAAAAAATTATTTACTGTGCTTATTTTTTTGTAAATATTTCCACTTTACGCATAGTTAATTGTATAAACAAAATAAAAGTCCCTGGTTCTAGCCCTCACGGCAAAATTTTTAAAAAACTAAATAATAATTAATTGAAATTTAATCCACTTGTCGAAAAAAAATTTTATTTATTGAATTATTTTATATTTCTAAATTTTAATTCCTAAGAATATTATTTTAGTCCGAGTATTAAAAATGCGGCAAAATTTTAAAACGACGAATTAATCACAAATAAAATTTTGACGTCATATAGCAAGCTATTATAAATATAATTAAAATTTTTTTAAAAGATATTTTAAAAATTAGATTGATACTAATTTTAAATTAAAATTTATAAATAATATTTTTTTAAATCTAAACATTAAAAAAAAAAAAAAGTTAAAGGTATTTTATTAAATTACGTGAACTTTATTTTGAATAAGTTTGTAAAATTTTTAATTTTTAATCAACTACCATTCTTTTGACAACAAATTTTAATTTTTCAACTAATGAGATTAAACCGTTAATAAATAATTATAAAAACAAATAACATTTTTTATGTAAATAAATAATAGCTTAAGAAAAAAATGAAATTAAGAGATGAAAAATCATTCAAGAAAACAAAAAAAAAGTACATTAAGGAATGGAAATAATGTCGAGTAACATTTACAAAAGAAATATTTAAACTGTATTTAAAAAAAAAAAGGAAAAAGGAAAAGAATAGAATATTTTAAGAACTTATTTGTAAATGATAACGTTTTTTCTCATCTTCAGAAATATCGCAAGGAGCTCCAGATAATGGATCTTGTCCCAAACGATTTTTTGGAAAAGCTATGACTTCCCTTATTGAATTTGCTTTACATATAATTGTCATTAATCTATCAAGACCTAATGCAATTCCTCCATGAGGAGGAGCACCACTATTTAATCCCTCGATCAAATGTGATACGCTCTCGGCATTCATATTTAATATTTTTTCTAAAATTATTTTTTGTAAATTTCCATCTGTAATACGTATTGATCCTCCTCCGATTTCATTTCCGTTAAGTACCAAATCAAAATGTAAACTTTTTACCTAAAGTTATTAATTTATAACAAAATTTATTGGAGGGGAAAAAAAAAGAAAATTTAATAAAAAAAAAATATTGGAAAATACCTTTAAAGGATTTTTTTCTAATAAATCAAAGTCTTTTGAATGTGGTTGAGTAAAAGGATGATGAGCTGATTGTATTTTATCATCTACTATTTCAAAAAGAGGAAAATCCACAATCCACGAAAAACAGTAAGAATTTTTATCAAAAACGCTGATTCCATTTTCTTCCAGGTAATCCGCAAAATTAACTCTGGTTTTACCCAATGATTCTACCTATAAATATTATTATATTAAAATTAATTATTTTGCAATTATTTTATTATGTAAAATAATTAACTGTTATCTAACGGAAGAAGAGCCGGGAGCGTGAGCGCGAGATATCCGGGATCCGTAACCGCCAAATGACGGTGGGCGAATGACGTAATGGCGGGATATGAATATTTTTTTTTTGATGTGTTGTAATTTTTGTAACTCTATGTGTAAAGTAATACATTGCTTACTACATTTTTTTTCGATCCAAATGCCAAAAATAAAACATCTCCTTTTTCGTATTCTGTTATTTTTTTTATTTCAGCAGCTATAATTGGATTGAATAAAGCTTGTAGCGTATCTTGCATACTTTTAAGAGATTTAACACTCATAAACACAAACCCGGTATCTTTGTATTCGTGTTTCATTTCATTTTGTATTTTTTTTTTTTTCCCTTCAGTCAATTTATCCTGGTCAACAAATAAAAAAAAAAAAAAAAAAAGAAATTATACTATTCAAAGGTAATTCAGCAACTGACTAATAAAATACAATTCACAACTGTATGTATAACAAATTAATTCTGCTGTTTTTTCACCTTCATGTTAATTACTGATAACTACTTAAAAAAAAGTTGTTTGTAAGTGAATAAATATATATATATATATATTATCAGCAAAATTTTTGATAAATAAATAAATAAATTAAATTTTACTCACTGCTCCATTACGTCCAACAAAACCATAAACTGCAAAATCTTTTTTATCCCAAAATTTTTTCAATTTGAATTGTCCCACGCAATTGTTTATGTTATTCGAAAATAATGAAGTCAAATCCTTCAACTAAAATATATATATATATATATATATAATTAAAAAAAAATTTCAAATATTTATATAATTATTATTAATACGTTGATTTATACCTTCCAATCAAAACGTAAATCGGGTTTATCCGTCCCGTATGAATTCATGGCTTCTTCGTATGATAACCGAGGAAATGGAGTTTTTAATTTGCCCAAACTTTCTGGCCAACAATTTTTAAGTAATTCTTCAATTAAATTAAATATATCTTCTCTATCACAAAATGACATTTCAATATCGAGCTTTAAGAAAAGAAAAAAAAAATTTTTGAGTTTTAATTAAAACTAACCTAAAGAAAAAAAAAAATTAAAAATTACCTGAGTAAATTCTGGTTGACGATCATTACGCATAGGTTCATCCCTATAACAACGAGCTATTTGAAAATACCTGTCAATAGAACCAATCATGAGCAATTGTTTAAATTGTTGAGGACTTTGTACAAGAGAATAAAATTTTCCTTTTTTCTCAGTAGGTACAATAAATTCTTGAGCTCCCTTAAAATTAAAAGTTTATATAATATTAAGAGAAAATTAAGTTTTATTCTTATGAAAAGTGGATTACCGAAAAAAAGGGCACTTACACCAGGCGTTCTTTTAAAAAGTGTTGGAGTTTCAACTTCCACAAAATCCAAATGTTCTATTAAATATTTTCGCATATTATAAATAATTTTCGATCTTAGGCGAAGATTATGTTGCATGTTAGGGTACCTGAGGTCTAAATATCGGTATTTCATTCTAATTGATTCATTTGGCTTGTTGAAATCTCTTACAGAAAATGGTAAATTTTTAGCCATATTCAAAACTTTTAAATCTGATACTATTACTTCTATTTTCCCAGTTTTTTGTTTCTGAAAATTAAATAATGTGGGGATTATCTCAATTATTATAAAATTATAGTTGTTTGTTTGTTTGTTTGTTTTATGACATAATGACATTACCACAAATGGTGTAAATATTTATTCTGAATGCACTAAATAAATATGTTTAAATTTCATTTTTAAATATTAAAAATAATTCTTTTCTATTGATTGCACAAATATAAAAGAAAATAAATAGGATAAGAGAAAAAAAAATTAATCTGATTCAAATTTTAAATTGATATGTTTTGTAAGAAAACTTAAAAAAGTTTTGTGTTAAACTTACCAAATTTTCTTGTCCTGCAGGACGAGGAAATACTGTACCCTCCGCCAATAAAACAGATTCCGGTTTTAATGTTTCTACCAGACTTTGAAAATTACTTTTCTGTAAAAGAACAAAATGGCAAAAATTTAGAGAGTAATTTTAATCGTTTGTTCACAAATATTTAGTTATACACTAAACATATACAACTGGACAACTGGTCGGAAGAGAGTCGTAATAAATTATTGAATTTCTCTTTAAAAAAAAAAAAGAAGGCTGAGCAAACCTTATTTAGATTTTAAATTATTTTTAAATACAGTTATAATTTAAGTTTTACATTCAGAGTTTTATTACCGATTCTGGAATGGTAAGCTGAGTTTTACCGTAACCGTCACGTAATAATACAAATTTTCCCATTCTTTGAAATTCTACCCAACCCATTAAACAAACATTTTGTCCAACATGGATGTCATCAAGTTCTCCACAAGTGTGTGTTCGCATAGTAAACTTATTGGGATTTGGGAGTATTGGCTCTGAAAAAAAAAAAAAAAAATTAATAAATAAATCTTGGTAATAATAATATATAATATATATTTGTTTTGATTAGGGTACAAAAAAAAAAAAAGATTTTAAATGAAAAAATGTAATAATATTCACCTATTTGATCTGAATAAATATTTTCGGAAAGATTATTTGATTCTGTTTCAGAATAAGTCTTATCATCAATAACATTATTATTTTCATTGATTGTTTCTTTTGAATTATCATTATTTTGAGTAGAATGGACAACTGTTAATGATTGCACTAAAACTTCTATGTTTTCGTTTTTATTTTTCTAAACAGGAAAAATGATGATATTATGAAAACCATAAGAGAAGAAGAAAAATATCATTTAAAAACAAATAAAATTGTTCAAATATTTAAATACTATTCTTCAAACTATCAACATTATTTTTAAAATGTATTTTATAAAAATAATTTAATAATAATAATACAAGATGAATCTCAAAAGTTTATTAAGAAAAACTTACTGTATTAGGATTATTTTCCTTTTGACTAGAAACAACACCATGTACAACCAGAATATTTTCCAACTGCAGATCATTAAATTTTTTAGTGAGTGGTATATTCTAAAAAATAATAATATTAATAAATAAATAAATTTTTTTTCAATAAGATGTTAAAAAAGGTGAGGTTTTTACCTTTAATTCAGGTACTATCTCTACAAATCCATATCCATCCTTTAATATAGCTCTTCCTGGAAATTTATTTGAACTAATCCAACCGCATAAAGTAATATTTTTTCCAATCAAATATTTATTTAATTCGCCACAAGTATGAGATCTTTGGGAAAAATAGTTAATAAATTCTAATGTAGCTACAATAAAAAAAAGTTTTTTTTTAAAAATTAGTTATAATATTCTAATGAACGATATAAAAATAATAATAATTCTCTTAATTCTTAATTAGTAATTTTAAACTGTACAAACTGTACAACTGTACAGGAAAAAAAAAGTTTTTACAGATACTTTACAGGTACTTTTCTTTAAACAAATTAAATATTAAACAATATTATTACTTACGACATTTAGAAAGTTCTTCACTTGTTATTTTCAAATAACTTGGATCAATAATTTTAGTTCTTTTAAATTCCCCAAGTTTTTTTTCATTATTTTCTTTGCCCTGTTTCGAATATATTTAAATATAAATTATGCACATTATTAAAATTTGAAAATAAACATATATATAATAATTATACATACATTTTTACTCTGCTCGAAAAGGTTTGGTGACTGTTTTTTTAAATCACCATTTTCTTCAATCTCCGCCTTTTCTTCTTTTATATTTGTTATGGTTGTCGTCGTGGATAATGTATAACGACATTTTAATAAGGGTGTTATTAGTTCGGTGACACCGCCGTAAATCTGAAAAAAAGAAAATTAATATGTTAATAAATAATAGAAAGGAATTTTTTTTAAAAAAAATTAATATTGTTCAGACTTGAATAAGACCCATAATAATTTCAAGTAAAAAAAGAAAAATTGTAAACTTTTATGTTCACACATATTTTTTAAGAATTGTACATAATGGTAAAAAAATTAAAAATGATAAGAAGATGTGAAGTTTTATACATTTTATGAGTAACAATGAAGTTCTATAATCAATTTTAACCAGCCATTTTCATTTTAAATGATAAACATGAAATTTAAATTAAATTTTTGGAATAGAATAAAATAATAAATAAACCAATTAAAATGCCCCCCCTTTCCCCTTGAATATCTGCATCATACATTTTAAAGGATAACTTTTTAATACTGTTTTTAATACATGATTATAGGAAACAAATAACAATTGAAACAAAAACAAAATTTGTTTCTATATTTTTTATTTCATTTTAATAAAAGCAAATATTTAACAATCTCAAATTCATTGTAATTTTATAAATGTTACTTTCTTCTTTAATGTATACTTTCATTATTATATTTTACATTTTGACTTACAAAAATTATATAATTTTTTTTTTTTAATTTGAAAATACCTTAAAAATAAAATCTAACCTAATTTAAAATTATGATAGATATATTGATAGAAGTATAAATCAAATAACAACAAAAACTTCATAAAAACATTTTTTTTTTATTAAATAATTTATGATAATAAACTTTATTGGGATATTGCAAGAAGTAAAAATCAAAAGAAAACATAACCTAAGAACTCATACAATAGTCAAAAAACAAGATTTTAAAGCAAAATTAAAAGAAAATGTTTTTTTTTCCCTGTCTTGTATAAGTTAGATTGTAATTAATTTATTAAAAAGTACTGTGAACAAAAAATTTCTTAAATTATATATTATAGAAATTAAAATATACATATATTTACTTAAAATAAAATAGCATCTTCATTGATGTTTACTTAAATCAATAACGTTAACTAACAATAATTTTAAGATCTAAAAATAAATATTGTACTTTTTTTAAATAAAATATTATGTAGATAATTCATAAATTTATTTTTTTTAGAATAAATATTTAATCCAAATTTAACGCACATTAAAACTAAGACATAAAACATTTGAAAATAAAAATAAAAAAAAAATTTTTTTATGCATAGTCAATACACGCCACTAAATGTATCTAAGCAAACATAAAATTAATAAATTGAAATTTTTGACAACAAACCTTTGGTTCCTTGAATTTTATTAATGAATTTTTAGTAAAAACTAAACATTTCTTAAATACATGGCGAACCATATTATAAACCCACCTCCCCTCACAATATTTTTAAATCAAGTTTTTAAAATTATTTTGACGTGCAAAAAAATTCGATAATACTGGGAGCCAGAACTTTTCAGTGAGGGAGCTTCGCAGAAATGTCATTCCTTTTATAATGTACCATTAAAAAAAAAATAAAATAAAATTTTTTTAAAATAAAAATGAGTGTTTAATAATTTTTAATCGAATTCATTATTTTAAATTAAATAAAAAATAATACATTAAAATAATCCTAACCAATTATAAAACTAAAAATACTTCAATTAATAATAAACATTTTTTTTTGAATTTTAATTATTGATTATTTATTGTAAATTGGGACAAATAAAGATTATTAAAAAAAATTCATTAAGTAATAAAACTAATACACTTACTTTTTCAGTATTTAAAAATTTTTTTAAAATAATCATTACCTTCAGAAAATAGTGGAACTCCAATTATTTTTTTAAATGTAAGGAAAAAAGGATTTTTATAAAAATACCATTAATTAATTTCCTTAACTTTCATATATATAATGAAATTTCATGACTCAAAAAAAAAAAAAATGTTTAAATATACCAAAATGGTAATTATTAAATTGTCATTTTAATTTACTTTATATTTAATCTAATTAAATATTGCAATTTTATTAAATTGCAATAATTAGAAACAGTTTCATTATTATTTTTTTTTTTTTTTTTTTTACATAATAAAAAAGATGTTAAACTTAAATAAAAAGTTATTGAATATTATACTTTCAATTTATCTTTAATAAGTTTCAAGTGATTATTTTTAACAAAGAAAATAAGCTGCAATAAAAAAAAAAAAAAAGTGACAGAAAATAGTTAAAAAAACAAATATTTATGAGTGATTTTAATTTAAAATTCTTTATGAATAAAATTGACTGAAAATTTATATTTCATTTAAAGTACATAATTTAAAATTAAATTAATTTTAAATATATCAAAATTATTCAACTTTTAATTTTTTAGCTTGAAATATTAACAAGGTAAAATTAATTACATTCACAAAATCACTATATATATATTCTGAAAAACTTAAAGAAATTGCTATACTCTCACAAAAGATAGCATTTTTAAAAAAAAAAAAAAGGAAAAAAAAAAAAAAAAAAACAGTAGCATTAAAATTAAAAAACTTTTCGAGGTAAATTATTTAAATTTTTGGCAAAGGTAAAATTAACTTTTATCAAATTAAACTATGTGAAAGAATAAAGTTTACAGTCTCAATATTAAATTAAACCTGTAATAATAGGACTGTGTTATGTAGTACTTGGTCCGAAAAACATTAGAAGAATTAATAGCACTGACATTAATCTAACACATTTATTATGAAGAAGCTTCTCACTCGTCTCCACCATCTTCATCTCCCTCTTCCTCTTCAACTTCTTCTTCTCCGTCTTCTCCTTCCAGATCATCTTCTTCTTCTTCCTCGATTGCACCATCATCATCTTCTTCTGCTTCTTCGCTGTCTCCTTCATCCACTCCATTTTCAACCTCAATATCGGGAACCAAATAATACTGAAGAGGATTTGGCCACATATCATCTTTGATAACTTCCGCTATGTCATCATAAGATGGGTCTCCATTATCTGTGAACCATTTAAAGAAGCTTTTGTGTTCCATAGCCCTTTTCCTTGACTTTAAATCTTTAGATTGCTTTGGAAGTTTTTTCCCTTCTTTCCATCTGATGGGAGTGCTTTCTGATGCAGGATCCCCAGAGGTGCCCAAATGAAACTCTTTTGTTAATATTTCATTTTCAAAGAAAGGATTTGGAGAAAAATGGAAATTAATCCTGTACCCAGATTTTATATCTTCAAACTCTTCCACTTCAAGTTTAGTTAAATAATGTAAACAATCTTCTTCTTCTTCTTCCAATATACCTGAAATTTGAGGGTGATTGACAAAAGCAGTTACCCAAAAATTCGGAATGCTTTTTATAAATTCATTTCTTTTTTCTAAATGAGGCTTTCTGAGTTGATTATATTTCTGTTCAACTTTCAAAATTTCTTCACTTGCTTTTTCATTCAAATAATCTATTTCGTTTTGGCAAGCGTCAATTTCTTCAAGAGCCTTTTGTGTTTCTGTGTCTTCTTCAGTACTTGCACCATCATTGGCTTTTTTGCTCTTTTTAGCGGGAGGAGCTCCCGTCGTGGTAGCGCCGTTGGCCGCCATAGTATTGTGTACTGTTATAAATATTTATGACGTTTTAATGACAGAAATATAAAATAAAAATTAAAAAAAAGAAAAACTTTCGGCCATTTAAAGTTCCGGTCAAAAGTAATGTAACAGTTAATACTTACATTATTATTTTGTTGTGTTTTGAAACTGACTTCAAATTCTCAATAAAACAGAGCCTTGTAGCCAATAAAATGGCGTCTGATGCTTTACAAAAGAAATAAGTATTGCCAACCTTTTTTAATTTGCTATTACATTGACAAACAACAAGCATCAAAATACTGAACCTAATCCAATACGTTTATCATCGAGTCAGTGTGTGTGTGTGTGAGAGGCTGAATGAAAAAAAGTTTAAGGGAAACCCGTTTAGTTTAAAAATTTTTATTTAATATGTTAAGGTGGTCGATTATTAATTTCCATTATGTTTGTGTTTTTTTATTTTTACTTACCCCATAAATTTAATTTATTATTATAGTTAATTACAATAAACAGTAAG